AATCTTCTCTTACTTCTCAATATACAAGCTGACCAACACTGCATTACCTACTTTCAAGGAAATCATCGACTTCCTTACGGACAGTGAGCGACCTGACATCAGCTTGCCGTTCGGCTAATTCCTCCTTCACATAGCCCTGAGCCATGGGATGGCGGCGTCAGCGGGACGCGAGGATTTACAAGCCCGCTCATTTATAAAATGGCGTGTAGCCGGTATATGAATGCACTGTATTTTTCAGAGCAAACTTTACAAGTGGTAGCATAGCGCACCAGCTCTTCGGCATCTCAGCGCAGATGTTGAGAAGAACATCCTGAACAATGCGATTCATGCGCTCAATTTGTACATCGGTCTGCGGATGGTCTGCTGTTGACATCGTCAACTTGGTGCCCAGAACCCTGAAGAATGTCGGCCACAACATCCCAGTTAATCGTGGATATCTATAGAGACATTTGACTCCAGGAGTCCATGTTGTCAATGATACTTAGGCGTTAGAGAGGCAAACGATAGGGCAGCTACACTGTTTATAGCTTTGAACAGAAACGTGCACGGATTTAATGTGGTTTTTGTATATACACGAATTCTATTTCGGCCGATTCAATCCGTCGCACAGATTTGAGATCTGTGCAGGCCTACTCTGGATTTGCGTAAACGTAATTTGCTGATACTTCCCGCAAGTTACATGTTCAGGAACATCCCGGTATAAACACAATAAACTTCATTCTAAATAAATGTCACACTCAAAAATTAGATCAGTAAAGTAATGAATTACTTGAGAGGCTCTCTGCCCGCTCCTGGGTCGAGCGTACGAACCACTCGTGTGCGCTGATAATGTGGACTCTATGAATCAAAATCTCCACGCTGTATGATGCACGGCAATTTCGATTTGGTCACTGTCTACTTTAGATTCGATCGCCGTATTGACGACAAGTGCTACTAGACGCAGCCGAGCCGCCGTGAAGTAAACTCTACTCTTTCCAATTTGCGTCATTTGCCGCACAAACAGTGGCTTCGCTACGTACCACCCTAAGAGCTAATCATGTAACAAATAGTTTTTAAATGCAATGATTTCATGTGTACTATATTAAGAACCTGAATATTTTTGTTCGACTTTCTCTCTTTTGCAGAAGTTTAATGGTGTTTGTACACATTACAGTATTACCATCGCTTTAAATAGTGCTCAGTACGAACGGAACTTCGTACCGCTGTACATAAATACCCTGACTCACGCTTTGATTATGATAACAAGTAAGATTTTTAAATGTCTAAAATTCTTTTTTTCTACATTTACGAAAATTCGCGCCCTACGTAGATATTACTAGGATATCACGGAGCCAACCTCTTAATTTGGGCAAAAGGTACGAGGAATGTACATGAATCGTTGGCAAGCGACACGCAACAGCCATAAATGCACTCAGTAGCAGTAGTCAAGCATTTCATTTTCCAAACGATGAAACTAAGAATGCTTGAGGAATAGTGGTGCGACGCAGGCGGTCTCCCACCGTAAAAGTGAGCACACGAGTTCAAACAGCCAGAACGAAGACTGAATCTGTTGTTGGTCGGCGATGGACCCCCCAGTAACAATTTCGCAGCCTGTAGGTTTGCCCTCATCGTCATACAGACGATTGAAATGCGTCCTACAATATTGCAATACAACCTTGTCAATAATCAAACTATGCAAATAATACAGATCAAAAGCAATCTGACCAGTGAAATATCTCGTAAAAGTACTCATGAGAATCTTGGACACATTGAATTTCAGGTGCAGGAATCGTACGCATACAAAGTGTATAGCCCGTCGGCGTCTGCAAACGGAAAATAAGTTGAATCGTCGCAAATGTAACATCAACAGCCCGGATGCGATGATCTCGTCGAACGATACGCAAATCGTCATTAAGCTGTTGCAATACTTCATATCGAGCGTTGACAGAACTATCAAATGACATGTTTTTAAATTTAGACCCATCGAGAAATATATCCCATGTTCTTGTCAATAAATCCTCTGGCGTATGCATCCAGAACTTCTTCGTAAAACCATATTGTAATGCTCCAGTCTTTGAGTCGTACTTCCTCTTATCTGTCCACCCCATAAAATTTGCACCAGTCGTTTGAAAATGCTCGGCGTCGTTAAAGCGCTGGATCTCGTCGTATGACTTCCGTACTAAGGAATAACACTCAGCGACAGTCAAAGCCTTAAATGTCGCACTGAACGATGAGCTTAAAGGTACACCACAATTCCACACATGCTTTTTCTCGTCAATCTTTTCATCTGTAAAGCCTTGAACTGTCTTTTGAAACTCTTGGTGTTGCTGAAGTAAAGTCTGTAGTTTTACCTGATCCTCTTCTAGCGCATGTGCGACCAAGGAAAGTTCCGAAAACTTTTCCTCAAGTCGGTCTATCGTGACGCTATTACCACATTGTTTCTCTCCATTCTCAACCCGAAACGATCCACGTTGCTTACCATCAAGTTCAGCGTATCGAGTCTCAAGCTGTTTGACCTCATCTCTCATCCTTTTAAGCACATTTTGTCGCCTTTGTCGCGACTTTTTTTCAATGGCAGAGCGTCTTGCGCGTTTCGCATCAATCTCATTAATGTCCGTCTGCTTTCCACATGGACTAATGGTGTGAATGACACTCTTGTGTACTTGCGGTGTTTCAGGTAAAAAAGTCGAGTTTTTCTTCTTCACCATATCGTCATCATCGCTACTAGACCACACGTCTTGTGGTGATTCGAGTTTAATATGAGGAGAAGTGTCACTTTTCTCAAGCTCAGACATTTCCGCAAACGCTTCTGTAAACGCACGCTCCATAGTGGGGGACAGCGGCGGCAATGCCGTTAACTCAAGTGTCGACATGGTTCAAATTATGATCGAAATGAAAAGTAATATATACCGTCGAAAAGTGGCCGGAATTTATTTTTAGTCTTTTTTTTCTAATTGTACATGTGTTTTCGCACATAAAAGTGTAAAGGCGCCACTATGAATACTGCATTGATTACATCCTTGTCCATATTAGCATTTATGATTTGCACATCGGATAGTAATTACGAGTAGCTATTTTTTACTAATATTATCAGTTTAATATGGTCAGACCTAATGTGACGACGTAATCGCATATTCAGTCATATTTATTACGTCATATAAATTATGGTAAAAAAATCATATTGTTAAGTACATCAAGCTCTATATGTTAATAGTAAACACTCATTTGTTTGAAACGTTAGAAGTGAATTTTACTACGTATACTTTTGGCTGAGTTGGACGAAATGTGATCAAAATCTGCGTGTCAACTGCACGAAACTTTTGTAGTTTGCTGACTTCAACCAGTTGTTCGCTTGAAGATGCATCGCTTACAGAAGTTACTTACAATGGCTTTGTGGGTCTTGTTGAGATAGTCTACATCAGCACCTTTTCAACTGTACAATGTGAATGTAGCAAAACATTCTAGTCTTGCTCACATAAATGGGCACTTATCTTGAAAAGCGAAAATAAACAATGTAATGAACCCATTTATAATTAAAAGCAGAAATGAACGAAGAATATACTTTTTTATAATATTTCTTGCACTTCCTTCTACTGCCCATAGCCTTCGGAATTATTCTGTTTAAATTTACGATTTCTTCTGGTACTTGACAGTTGTGATGCGTTTGAGATCGTCCACAGCAAAAAAACACATTGCGTAGAGAAATTGACAGGAAAGATTTTGGATTTGAGATCGTGTTCAAATCGTATGGCTTTGAAGAATACTTTTGCGAAGATTGCGACCAATTTTGGGATTTATGGTATCAAAGAAATTTATCCTAGACCAGATACGAGATAGCGAAGTGTTAAAGAACCCGCTCGTATCTGATTATCTTTTCGTTCGTTTTATCGATCGTTTCGTTGCAGGATTAGCAATGCTTTTTTATGAGGTTGTAGAGTTTGACTGCTTTAAAATATAGTTGGAAGCATTATCACTCGAAATTCACCTATCCAAGAAGAAAGTTTACCAAAACTTCCCTTTTGACAGGCGATTCAACGACTTGGATAACGATACCTTTTAAAACAACATCGATCACAATTGTTTTGGTAGAGCCAGCAGAGATAGCTGCACCCTTACTGTGGTTCGATGATTGACAAATCCCAACAACATTCTCGAAAAATATCGTTTGGAAAGACAGAAAGGATGATAACACAAGGCAGTATGCATAAAGATAAATGTTAGAGGCCTCACAGGTGATCGAGTTTGCGATTTATATATATATATAAAAGCGTCGCCGAGATTGCCTTCTCTACGCTCAAAATATCGTCGTGCAAGAGCAGATTCTTTTTTATGTACTACTAAGGCGTGGTATTGAGAAGTTTGAAGTTTGTTGCTTTCCGTGTGAGCTAATACTTTACGTAAAAGTTAGAATTTATCCCTGATGCGCAAGACAATATGTTCCTAGGACGACCTTTACGCTGCTCGTTCCTGCAGATATTACTCGCGTCTTCGCAAGAAGCTAAAGAAAGTGCGGCTTACACATCCAATGTATCTCCTACTATAATCGGGACATTGTCGACTTTCATCTCACGAACTATGTCCATTGATCAAGCTTGACCGTACCAGCTGTTAATTTTGATGGTGAATTTAAAATTACTGAGAGCTCGCCAAGAGGTCGAATATTATGTTCAATTTCTAGAATATTTTTATAAAGTGCTCGTTACTTTGTCACAAATCATCACGATCTTCAAACAGCCGGGTCGATTGACTTCCGTGCATTCTGTGAAGCGGGACAACAGGGCCCTTTTTTCCATCTGTGAGAGCTTAAACGTAATGAAGCGAGCTCTGTCATATAAATGTGCTCATCTTCAGGGAAACTTCTAGCGGCTCCTTCAAATGTTTGAATGGGCCGTGCAATTCAAATCAAAATAGGCTCGCTTTTGTGCCACCTGACGACTTTAAGTCAGGAGATGATAGCTCGTATAGAGTGACAGATGTTGTGGAAATCCTCATCTCTTTTCAAATGCTTCTAACTGAAACTTCACAAAGCACACTTTAACAAACATCAGAGGCATCTCAATGACACGCTCCCAAATGCAGCCTGCGTGTTCCAAACTTCCGATGAAAAATGCATCTACGCAGAAGGTGTGGTGTACCCAAAGACACCCGAAAAGGTTCACTCACTACATCAATTTGCTAAGAGGCTCATGTCAAGTCATGAGCCAAAATATTCGGTAAGCCAAACGAAATTATGTAAGGACTACATTATGAGGAGATTAGTGATTGGTGGAGAAGTGAAAGCACATCATAGTAAGCCGCAATCTGGAGGACATAGTGTGTCAATGCGAGAAAGCCTACCAATTTGTATGATTTCGTTGGGCAATGAAGTTTGTAACAGAGTACATACTTTACTTATTAATGTGTACGTACTATTGTACCTTTGTTCAAAAGAAAAGTTCAAAAGGACCATAGTGAAATTGTTTGTGATGACGCCACTCAATGCATGTACGGGAAAAGCAATGAGGTCACGAGGATTACGATAATGCGTGCGGTGAAAGTCATGGTTATAGGTAGGCTTAAGGACGTGGTGGCAGCCGTATCTTGGTCAACATAAATCAAATTACATTCAGTGGGCTTAAAGGTATCACTTATTAGTATTATTATCGACTTTACCAACGCATCAAAAGATTAAAAGCCGCAACAAGACCACTACTCAGAACGCGCCGCCTTCAAACGACAATGACGTCCAAGCAAACCAAAGTCCTTCCAGGTGTGGGGTCTATTCCACTGAATGTATAATATGCGCATGACGATGTCACGCAAGAGGCTTGTTGGCGCATTTTCAGGTCGTCAAAAGGAAAGAGGAGATGACAAGAGTATTTAAGGACGCCAAACCACCGGTAAACATCGACCAAGGCATCAAGTGCATCTCTCGACCAAGATACGGTCTGCTTGGAGGCTTTGAACACTCTGCGGAAGTTCTACAATTACAGTTTGCTTTACAATTGTGTCGAGATGAAACGCCGTCTCCATGACTTCAATATGGAAGTGGTACGGCAATTTCTAAGTATTAAGACGCCTCTGCCGAGCTGGTTGTCGGTATCAACGCACTTAAGGAGCCGGTTGACGATTCACGGCAGCTAGAGATACTGCTGAGCAGTCTACCGACGGAGTACTAGCTGACTACTTCCATTATAGAGAATGCCAAGGACATTACGCTCATCGAGATCAAGGAAAACTTGTTAAAGGAGCAAAGATAGCGTTTCCTATTCACGCTAATGGTTGACACTATAGGAGCAACCATGGCAAATTAGAAAAAGGAAACGTCTCATGAAAGAACGGCTATTAATCAAAAAGCAAGTGCTTTAAGTGTAATCAAGTTCGTCACATGAAGGACTTTCTGGGTGGAAGAGATGGTGATGAGAGTGATGCGGTATTTTCTACCGAAGAAAGGTACAACGACATCGCACATGGCTCCGTAAAGAGAAGACATGGTCCGCTATGATGTGATAACCACTGAAATGGATGCGACTGTTCTAATCGGCAAGAAATTGCGAGTCTCTGGTAAAGGAATGGTAAAAGCTGACTGGTCTTAATAGCACGCGCATCAATATGTTGGATGTACTTTACATTTTAAGACTCGCTAGACGATTGTTGTCGTTTGGAAGCTTGGAGGGCGCGGCCTACCTCTTAAGTATCAGCATTCTTTATATGTCATATGGGACATAAGCAGTGCTTTGGCACTGGACAAAAATGCCCGACAAGGCTAGTGTCTTTGACTGTGAGCAAGAAGAAGCACTGTATGTGGAGTATATCAGATGGTGGACAACCAGTGCAGCGGGGCTACCATAGCTTAGCGCTTGAGGAAGCGTAATTCTGGTCACCGACTTTTCGTTCTTTACAAAAACCAATACGAGTGTAGAGGATCGCAATCCGCTACCTTCAAGAGTAGTTAGTACCTTAACCAAGGCTAATAAACTCTTTGGTATAAATCTAAAACTGCTTTTTAATTATTTTATCTGCGGCTAAACCGCCGAATTTAAATGTCTAGATATTACTAAATATATATAGTAAAATCTAAATACATACATAACTACTGGCTACCTAGCCACATACCGTATTTTTATTTGGGTGCAGTCGCACCATGCACATCTCGTGTGACCCCCCCTGTTAACAGGGTACGTGTAGCCCCGTTACACCCTCCCCCATTATTAAAATTGAGAACATTTACAATTCAAATCGATTATTGCCTCAACGAGGCTGGCGTGTCCGCTAGACACTGCAACTTAATTCGTTGGAATAGAACGACTTCCGTGCACAATGAGCCCTGTGTCAACGACACTGAAGTAACCAAGTTTCGCTGGTTCTGACCGCGA